TGTGTGTGTGTGTGTGTGTGTGTGTGTGTGTGTTTGTGTGTATATCTGTGTGATGTTAACTCAAGCATGCCATGGTGCACAAGTGAAGATCACAGAACTCACCGGATCAGTCAGTTCTTCCTTTCATATATACAGATTCCGGAGATTGAGTTTAGATAACCAGGATTACTTAAGTGTGTTCACTTGTTGAGTAATCTTGCCAGTTGCTTTTTGAACATCAAAAGCAAAACCAGCAACTTCTATTTTTTGAGAGTTATGTATATTATGTGATAAAAACATAGAAACAAATTGGAAAAATGAAAATTAATGTAATTATGACACTTAAATCTTAGTATCACCATGAGACAATATGATAAAAGTTTTGTTGTGCAATAATAATTCTTGTGTTTGACAACGGCATATTTAGAAAACAAACATGACTTGAAGCTATTGATAGTACACTGCTCTATGGAGATTTACAAATGGGATGTCATTCTCTTAACCTATCCTCACACATTCGCTCACCTACTAGCCCAATAAACCTAGGCCAGCCTTCCTTCCCATCTCTTAATGCCTAAAATACCATTCTTTAGAGGAGAGGACAGATAGCCATGTTACTAGTGTCAGACACATTTACAGTTACCCTTTTTGGTATCCTGTCCTACAACATAGACACTTGCATGTACAGGTGAGCAATTGGCTTTCAGCATATTGTTTTACAGAAATCGGGGAAAAGTTCTTTGGATTTTGGTTTTGCAGAGAGACATAAGGAACTCAGTCTATTGTACCTCATGTGTTTGGTCATGGGTAAATAGAAAAGTACATAATTTGCTGGCTATACACAGCATAACAACATTTGAGACTCTTTTCAGTGTCCAGCTCACATGGACAGCTTTGCTTTTTGTGCTCATGATTTACTCTCATGATAGACACTTTGAAGCTTTCTGCAAAGTATCCTCACAAAGGAATACCAGAAAGCAAGGTATATACCTTATATTGAGTGGCACTTACCTCTCCATATGGCTGGATAAATTGGAGAAGGAAAAATGATATTTAGGAAGATATTAGGAAGTGCTAGGAAAATTTAGTGAACTAAGCAAATCTTTACCACAGATAATTAAACAAATCTCATTTTTATTCTTGCTTATGGTCATGGGAAAGACACAATAGAGTGTGTCAGGAAAATGAATATCTTTATTTTGGTATACACATTAGTGTCATATTATTTCAGATTGAAAAAGCCATATTTTAGTAGCCAAATGTTAGAGTTTTAATTGCTAGCTCAGTATTTAAATTGAGACTATAGTTTCTTACAAAAGCAGGATAATGTGCAGCATTGAGGTAACAGCATATTTGGAAAAATAAAAGCAAACCATGAATGTGGGCACATTTTCACTTAGGGAATAATTACGTTTCACTATTAAAAATATCATAAAATTATATTATAGATTTAATTTCCTACTATGGTGGCCATCTTGCATTTTTGTATTACTGAGAATTCTATAGACAAAATGATCATGGTTAATTCATGCTACTTATAGCATGGAGTAG